TTTTCTGTAGTACTTTTTTCTCTCTTAATTTCACTCTTTGCCTGCTCCACTACCTGTTCAGCTGGTGAGGTCATATTTATTTTTGGATTTGTATCTTGTTCGACTGCTCTCTTTGTGTAGTTATCAATGCTTATCATATATGGTGAAGTTTTATTTCGTAATCCACCACCTCGCTGGTATTCTTTCATCGTATGATCGCTATAAGGGTTTACACTTCCTTTGTTTATATGCATATAAAACATTGTCCATTTTTTTGTATCGGGTACATACAACTTTTTGTTAACATCCATGACTAAAATGGATATCGTATTAAATGAAGTGTCATCCACACGTCAGAATCAATAAATGTAGCAAGTGAACCGTCCTCATCCCTTAAATACAAATGTAGGTTAGAAAGTTCAATGACTTTCAAAGGAATGTAGTACACAGGGAAAAATTTGTCATTCCAACCGTAAGATGGGTCAGATTGAATGACACGAAGTAAGGGTTCTTGATGACCATTAACACTGGAAAAATCACACACATCGGAATAAACAAATAAAGATTTATGATAAAATGTCGTAATGGGTTTTGAGGTTGCTTTGTCAATTACTGTTTTTTTCGGTGATGACAGAGTAAAAAACTCAGTTATCCCAATTTTCCAGTAGCCGTGTAAATCCAAAGCGTTGTCAAGGTGAATTTTAAAATCGTACGGTTTATTTTCAGGATAATACTCCTTGGACTCACTCGACCTGACAAATATATATTTTTCCATTACTTCGTTTTCAAATCAATTATATCTGATTCCTTCACCCACTGGTTAAACTTCTCGGGCCAAGATTCAAATTTCACTAACACTTCTGTCAATCCTTTTCTTTTCCTCTTTTTAAGTATTTTCTCAACGAGCCATAACGAGTCTTCGTTTTTATCAACTTTTTGTAAATCGTTTTCATAGAAGTCACCTTCAATCAATTCTTGGTTAAAATCTTTAACTTTGTACATTGGTATTCCTTGCAAGTGGAATCTTTTGGCAATTTTAAATATCTCTCCCGTGAATTGTTGATTGTAACCTCTGCGAAAAATATGCTTTAAATGAGATAATCTCACCAAGTCGTTTAATTTAAATCTAAATCTAATGTTTTTTCTTCTTTTTTCTTTTTTTACTGGATTAACACTTTTGTTTTGATTTTTCTTTTTCAAATAGAGTTGTGCCCACACATCTGCTTCATTGTCTGCAGTGACTTCCTTGGGTGCTAGACCTCCAATACTCCTATGCGGTGTTGAATTGTAATTGTTTACTAAATCTGGTAAGACATCTATATATCTATGTGTTCTCTCTTTTTGAAAGTATCGGTATAGTCTACCGCGAATTGTGCGTATAACTCTTTCCGCAATAGACGCTTTCGAATTTTGATTAGCAAAAAAAATTCTGACACCTTCATTTTGTAAATAATTTTGCAGTAATCGATTCTTAAATTCACCTCCACGATCACTTCTTAATGTCTGACACTTTACACCAGATTGAAATACTTGTTTAATACCATTTAAAACGTCTCTACCAGATTTTTGCTTAAGAGCTACAATTCTTAAATATTTAGAAAGTGTGTCGATCAATATCAGCAGAAATTTGATTCCATCATTTTCTTTTGATAGGTTTTGAACGTCCATGAGGTCCATGCTCCATTGAACATTGAGGCCACTAACACGAATATTGGGAACTTTAGTGGGTCGACGAATCTGCCGCTGTAATGTATACGCATCCTGCTTTTTTAGCCATTTAGAAATAAAATATTTGCTAAAATTAAAGTCTTTGTTCGATTTCAGTGTTTGATAAAGTTTCTCAGGTGTTGTATATGCTGCAGGATTGCGAATATTATAATAATAGTTTTCCAAATACTGTGTTTTTTCTTTATCACTCATGGTTTCAGTAATCGCATGATGTAGATTCCCTCTCCATTCCTGAATATAACTTACTCCTCCAAAAATCAGTGAGGCAATAGGTTTTCATAATTTCAGACAAAGATAGTATCTCTGTACGATCACAGTCATGATCTCTCAGCATAATCTGGAAAACGTCTCGAATGTTCAGTTTCATATAGGCGAGCTCAAAATTCATTATTAGTTTCATGTGTGTTGAATCCATCAGATATGAATGTTCCGTTTGTGATGGATGATCTATTTCACAACCATTACACCTTTCTCTCGATATTTCGGAAATTTTATCCCAAATAGTATCAATGCAAAGAGAGATGAACAATTCGTAATATTTATGTTCAACATCCATCTTTGAACTTTATTCTCCCAGATGTAAAGTACAGTGTATCATATACTTATTTCATACTGTTCAGGATGAATGATTCTTTATAATAAATTGTCACTACAAAATTTCGTAATTATAAAACATAATATCTTCAAAGCGATATCCTCAATAATGAAGAATCTATGTGTGCTACTGAGTTTTTCAAATATTGCCATTGCATTTTGCTGATTTGAATTCCATTACTGGTCCCTTCTTCATCTCTGAATAATCGTATATCTATTGTTATGTTTCCATTAGACTGGCATATTCTTACGTAGACCTCATCACTGAGTGGATACTTGTCTACATACGAACAATTTGGGGGTATATATGTAGAATTCGCGCACTTCCACTGAATACAATCACTCATTTTTAGCTCTTCTATGTTTCGCTTTTCCTCCAACAGTACTGTATTCACGCATAGAAGTATCATAACAATAGTTGAAATTGCAAAGAAAGAAATGAATTTCAGTTTTTGATTCATAGAGGATTTTCTGAAATCATCATCACAGTTTGCCTCTAATAAATTGGAAACAATGCTAACACTTTCCATTTTTTAAAATTCGAGTCAGTGCTCTGTTTGGTATTTTATGGGTCATATCAATAAATTAAAAATGATGTCCTATTTATATGGCAATGCCGTAACGGATATAAATCAAAGGAAAATTCTAGAATTATTCAGTTCATGAACTTTATGTAAGATCATATAGTAAACTCAATCAAGCCTTTTGCTTATTATCATATGGGTGGAGTCAGATCTTGAGCCTTCTGTAAGAACACCGCTAGTCACTAAGCCTTCTGATTTAAACCTTATTATCAAATGGGTGGAGTCATTTGGATGATGTAGCCTCTGAGCCTTTGACTTAATTTACATGTTTGGCAGACTTATAAAGTACAGTAGGCAGGGCTAGTCTCTAAGCCTTCTGATTTAATTTGCATATTTGGTAGACTTATATAGTACAGTGATTGGAATTGATGTGTGCTAGTATCATCCTACCTCTACTACTCCATTCATTGCCAAATACAAGTTACATAATATAAATTAATTTTATTATGAATAGAACTGGTCTAGATGTTCCGAATTTTTTTCAGAATGCCTTTTTTTTTCTTTTTTTTAATACATTTTCCATTCATCATGTTCATTTACGAAATGTTCTGACCCAAACTCCCTTTTGTATTTTGTCTAGTTTTATCCGAGACAAACACTTCTTAAGAGATTTGTGTAAATTTGTTGTTTTTCTCTTACATACATATGCACAATTTTCCTTCATCCTTTTTATTTTACCTTTATACTGATCTTGATATATTGCGTGATATTTACTTTATAAAACCAGAATACGTTAAAATTTGTAACACTGTTCAACAAACTATATTTTTACTCGTAATAGAATAACCATGATTACTAGCAAATGCTCATACATTTATAGTACTAATCATAAACATACGTAATCAAAGATTACGAAGCTCACCTCGACGAATGCTATCTATAGGTAAGGCAAATCTCACATTATATTTTTTTTCTAATTAGTGTACATCCCAAGATCAATATCCATGCAAGTTTGATTTAAGTAGGACTTACAATTACTTGGAAATGACCCTCTTCAAAAACTTTATCCTGCTTACTAATCAAGAAAATTTCGATCAGCTCCAACATCCAAAGCAAGTCTTGAAGTGTCCATCCTCAGATGCACCATACTGGCAAGTTTAATTAAAATAGGCCATATAATTATGGAGCTACTCCAAAACATTAACCTGGTAACTCATCTGAAAAAAGTAGGCCAGATTCAAAATCCAAAGTACATCTGGAAGTGTCCATTCTTAGATACATTGCCCATGCTCATTTGTTTAAGTAATGGTAAAATTCATTATCTGGAAAATATAGGTCAATATGCAGCATCCGAAGCAGGTTAGGTAGTATACATCCCTAGATGCACCATCCATGCAAGATTGGTCAAGGTAGAGTTTATAGTTACTTTGAAATGGACCTGCTTCAAAAACTTGAACGCCCGCATGGCGCAGTGGTTAGAGCGTCTGCTCTAGAGTTGTGGAGTTGATCCTTACGTCGCGGGTTCGAATCCCACTGCAGGATGTGGACACGGGTCCTTCGGATGAGACCGTATAAACCGAGGTCCCTTGTCGCAGTAGGTGCTGGCACGAAAAAGATTCCTCACTTCTCAATGGCTCTGAGTGCCGAGTATAGGTCAAAATTTGTAGCCCTCCACCGGCAAGTGGTGGCGTCTCCATATGAGTGAAAAATTCTCGAGAGGGACATTAAACAACAAACAAACAAACAAAAACTTAAACCTCACTCATCCGGAAAACGAAGTCAGATTAGCATCCGAAGCAAGTCTGGAAGAGTCAAGTCAATTCCTAAAGGCATCATGCATGAAAGTTTGGTCAAGGTAGGTTTTTTAGTTACTTGGAATGGACCTGCTCCAAAAACTTTAACCTGAAAACCCATCTGGAAAATGTACGTCAGATCCAGCATCCAAAGCAAGTGGGGTAGTTTCCATCCCTAGATGCATCATCCGTGCAAGTTTGGTCCAGGAAGCTTGTGAATGGACTTGCTCCTAAAATTTAACTACGCTAAAGCCGGCGCCGACACTGCTGCTGACGCCGCCGGGAAAAGCATAAGCTCATATCGATTTCGTCGAGGTGAGCTAAAAAGAAAAGAGACAGAATATCTTCAAAACTTGAACAAAGTTTTTTTTTATTCGTCATCATAAACTTAGATCAAACTTGGGTCCTTCATACACATTAGTTTATCTGTGACCTCCTCAAATAGTGTTTTTTAACCTGGCTTCACGGAACATTCTCTGACAAGGATCACATTTTTACGGTTTGTCAGCTGTATGTGTCCTCATATGTCTCTGTAAATTTCCCCTAGAATTCACGTAATAATGGTTAACCACGTGTATGTATCTTCAAGTGTCTCTTAGGTCTCAAGACGAACGCCTTTCCAAATACATCACATTTACATGTATAAGGTTTATTACTTATTTCTAGTCCCAGTTACTTATTTCTAGTCCCAGATGTCTATTCATATCCGATTTTACACGCTCTCTGTAACATATTACATCTAAAATGTTTATCACAAATATGTGTCCTCATGTGTCTACGTTAGTCCACCAAGTTAGAGAATGCATTCCCCAAAACATCAAATTAAAAACGTTTTCTCCTGCATGTGTCCTGTATGTCTCTATAATGTTCTTCACTGGTTGAATGTCTTTCCAAACCTAACATTTATAACCTAATCCTAATATGTGTGCGTGTGTGTGAGAGAGAGGATGTGTGTGTATGTGTGTGAATGCATTTCCACATACATCATCTATAAAAGGTTTATCATTGTGTTTATCATAATGTTTCTCTGTTCTTTATAGGTTGAATGCTTCCATTTGACTCCAGTAAGAATTGTAATATGATTTTGTAAGATACTTCAATGGGTAAATGCCTTTCCACTTTATCACATTTATAAGGTTTATCACCTCTATGAATCATTATATATTTCTGTAAGGTACCTGATTCAAAGAACACTTTCTCTACAAATCACATTTACAAGGTTTATAACCTGTATGGATCCTAATGTGTCTTTTCATAGAAGATTTATCACTAAACGTTTTCTGGCAAAAATCACATTTATAAGGTTTATCACCAGTATGTGTTCTGCTGTGAATCTGTAAGCTTTTAGAAGGCTTGAACGCTTTCCGACATACATCACATATATAAGGTTTCTCAACGGAATGCATCTTCAGGTGTTTTTTCAAATCTGATTTTTCATAGTATGCTCTTTGACACAAACCACATTTATAAGGTTTATCAGCTGAATGTGTCTTCAAGTGTTTATATAAATTACTTAATTGGTTAAATGTTTTCCCACACACATCACATTGAAAAGGATTTTCACCTGTATGTATCCTCTTATGTTTCTTCAAAGAACATGAAACAGAGAATGCTTTCCCACATACATCACATTTATTAGGCTTCTCACCTGTGTGTATCCTTTTATGTGTCTTCAAGGAATATGAGTTAGATAATGCTTTCCCACACACATCACACTCAAAAGGCTTCTCACCTGTATGTATCCTCATGTGTCTCTGCAAGGCTCTTGATTGGTTGAATGCCTTCCCACACACCTCACATTTATAAGGCATCTCAGCTGTATGTATCCTCTTGTGTGTCTTCAAGGAACATGATTTTGGGTATGCTTTCCCACATACATCACATTTATAAGGCTTCTCACATGTATGTATCCTCTTGTGTGTCTGGAAGGTACCCAATTCAGAGAAGTGTTTTCCACATACATCACATTTATAGGGTTTTTCATTTGTATGTGTCCCCATGTGTTTCTCTAAGTGATATGCACGGCTGAAAGCTTTCATACAGATGTTACATTTATAAGCTTTTTCACTAAAGTGTCTATTGCTATGTCCTTCTAATAACCCTTGGCAATTGTCATAAACATTACAGTTCTTTATATTTTCAGCATCATTTTGAATTTGTAAATTGGATGAATAAGGTTTAACACCAGTATGTGTTCTCCTGTGTACCCGTAAGCCAGCAGATTGCCTGAATGCCCTTCCACATACATTGCATGTATATGGTTTCTCACCTGTATGTATCCTCATGTGTGATTTCAAATCTGATGTTTCATAAAATGTTCTCTGACACAAACCACATCTATAAGGTTTTTCACCTGTATGTTTCTTTAAGTGTCTCTTTAAATTACTTGATTGGGTGAATGCTTTCCCACACACATCACTTTGATGGAGTTTGTCACCTGTATGTGTCCTTGGGTGCTTCTGTAAGTGGTATCCATGACTAAAAACTTTCTTGTGTATGTAACATTCAGAAGGTTTTTCACTTCGTTGTGTACTGCTGTTCTTTTCTACATCCTCAGTTTGATTGTCATTTGCACTACAAATGTTTAATGTTTCAGCATTCTGTTGATTAGATGAAAAGGCTTTCTTTCCCCTCTGAAATTTTGAAAAATCTCTTTTAATAGTGTGTCTCTTCTATTTATTTATTTGTATAAAATCATATGAAAAAATACAGCACAATAAAGATTTTTTTTATAAAGAAATGCAATTCAACATACGAATATGCATCTGACAGACAAACTAAATACAAATAATTTTGAGTACTTCATCACCAATGTGCATTTTAAGCGAAAAATTAGAGCTTTGAAGAAAACCATACAAAAAATTCATGATTATATGAAAAGTTTTGGGCCATCTGTCTACGAATATGGCCTTTAACGTTAATGTAGTCATTATGTTAGTGTACAGGTGAATATCTTATAGGTTACTGACTGAATATCGGGTAACCCCCCCCCCCCCCCAGCTCTAAGCGCGGTAGAGTAGACCTAGCTTGTTTAACTTTTCATCATCACTTTGAATACTAGTATATGATCTAGAAAGCTTTCCTCTCTGTAAATTTGACAAAGACAACAGTTTGAATGCTATTTCAGCGTACTTGTCTGATGATATGAAGGATAAATAGTTCTTTTGTCTCAGAAGTCAGCAACATACATAGAAGTTCAAGGTTAATATAGATCATGTGAAACATACATAATCACGGATAACAAAGCTCACCTCGACAAATGCTACTTATCAGAAAGGCAAATTCTAAAACCAAGTTTGCCCCAGATAGGACTTGCAGCAACAGGGTATGTACATATTACGAAAAATACTCAATCATCAACGAAGGTCAAATCCAGCATTCAAAGCATGTCTGGTAGTTTGAATCCTTCTATGCAAGTTCGTTTATTTCCACGTAAAATAGGACGTGACCCATAATTTGAACAAATTTGAATCCCCTTCACCCTTGGATACTTGTGGCAAGTTTGGTTGAAACTTGAGAAGAAGTTGAAAATGTGACAACACAAGCTACACAGACCTTACATTGACAAGTTTTATCACCTACATGTATATGCCTTCTCCTCTGACTCTATAATAAATTAAATGATACCGAAAAAGCCTTCTTCCGATAAACATCACATTTATAAGGTCTATCATCTGTATGTGTCCTTGTGTATACCTTAAGTTTTCTTAATTATCAAATATCTACCTACACCTGTACACACATAAATTATAAAAAGAATTATAACCTTTGTGCATCCTTTTGTGTTTGTGAAAGTTTCCTGAATGGCTAAATGCCTTTCCACACACATCACATTTGTAAGGCTTTTCGCCTGTATGTGTCCTCATGTGTATCTTAACGGAACCTGATACAGTAAATGTCTTTCCACACACATCACATTTAAAAGGTCTTTCACCAGTATGAATCCTCATGTGTGTATGCAAGTGTCCTGATTGGTTAAATTCCTTCCCACACACATCACATTTATAAAGTTTATCACCAGTATGATTCCTCATGTGTGTATGTAAGGCATGTAATTGGTTGAATCCCTCACCACACACATCACATTTATAAAGTTGATCAAAAGTATGTGTCCTTTTGTGTGTGTGTAAGGAACGTGAATGGTTATATCCCTTCCCACATACATCACACTTATAAAATTTATCACCCGTATGAGTACTTATGTGTCTACGTAAGTTACATAATTGGTTGAATGTCTTCCCACACACATCACATTCATGAAGTTGATCCCCAGTATGTATCCTTAAGTGCATCTGTAAGTTACAGGAGCGGGTGAACGCCTTTCCACACATATCACAGGTAAATGGTTTGTCACCTGTATGTGTCCTCACGTGTCTTCGTAAGTCTCCTGCTTCTGGGAATGCCTTCCCACACACATCACATTTATAAAATTTATCACCTGTATGTATCCTTGTGTGTCTATGTAAGTTACATTTTTGGCTGAATGTTTTCCCACACACATCACATTTACAAAGTTTATCACCAGTATGTGTCCTCATGTGTCTTTCTAGGTGATCCGAACGGCTTAAGGTTTTCTCACATATGGCACATTTATGACTCTTTTTACTTACATGAGTATTGATAGGTTCCACTGCTCTTCCTGTTTGATTGTCACTTACAGTCAAGTTTGAGAAGTTTTTAGAATCATTTTGAATATGTGAATGAGATGAATAATCTACTTGTTCCACCTGCAAAGTTGACAAAAAAAGTTTTTTAATAACTTCTTAAGGTACTTGTTTGATGATAATTCATGATTTAGCTTGTTTAGTAGATGTGTCAATCAAGTCACATATAATTGAACCAAGGGAAGCTACTCATACAGTAGACTCCTACCTGAAAAAAAAAATCATTTCCCTTATTCCCTAACAAGTACAAATGACGAAATAAAAAACAAGGGGAGAGTTGTCAATATGACAGCAAACCAGGTTTCCTTTTTGTGTGAACACATACATGTGCCTCATCGGATAGAAATCGACCTTATCGTATGCAACGTCATAATGATAAAGAAATGAATAAAGTTAAGAAGAATTTCCCGGTATTTTTTCTACAAGTGGTTTTCACTTTATGGAATGTTTTAGACATCATCAAATGCAATTCATGGACTTTGGGGGGAGGGATCAGATTATTTTGAATATAATTAAATTTATTTCCCTTCGTAAAGCCCTTAATTTTTTTTATTGTTACCATGGATCAATGTAAACACAGGCAAAATGAATGCTGAGTCCGATGATCACCCCTCATGGCCCGGCCCTAATCCCAGGGGTCATGATTTAAAGATCGAAAGTTGAAACTACACTACCTTAGAATGCTTCCATATAAATAGGACCAATCATGACTTTGCTGTTCCTGAGAAGAAGAACCTTCAAGATTTTATCTTTGCATTCCTATGTAAATCTTCAATCGTCCATAGTGTCAAACCTTACCTCAAAGGGTCATAATTTGAACAAATTGAACTATAATCTACACTACCTGAGGATGCTTTCATTACAAATATGACTAATCATAACTTTGCTGTTTGTGAGGAGAAGCATTTTAAAGATTTTTCCTATGTATTCCTATGTAAAAATTTGATCGCCCAAAGTGGCCCCACCCTACCCCTGGGAGCCATGATTTGCACAAAACTGAATCTACACTACCTGAGGATGCTTCCATATAAATATGACTGATCATGACTTTGCTGTTCTTGAGAAGAAGAAATTTAAAGATTTTTCCTTTGAAGTCCTATGTAAAACTTTGATCGCCCACAGAGGCCCCACTCTACCCCCGGGGGTCATAATTTGAACAAACTTAAATCTACACTTCCCAAGAAAGCTTTCACATAAGTTTCATTTTTTTGGCCCAATGGTTCTTGAGAAGATCTTTAAATTACCCAATCCAATTTTCAATATTTCTTGATAATTATCTCCCCTTTGGATTAGGCTGTGACCCCTTCATTTGAACTTGAATCCCCTTTACCCAAGGATACTCTCTGCCAAGTTTGATTGATATTAGCCCTGTAGTTCTGGAGAAGAAGATGAAAATATGAAAAGTTAACAACAACGCCAACAACAATGATGACAATGATAGACAACGGACAGATTTCGATCAGAAAAGCTTACTTAAGCCTCGGTTCAGGTGAGCTAAAAACTTTAGAGCAACAGCCCAATCACAGGTTTTCTTTCAAGACTTTCATATCATTTGACTATGAGTCATTTCCAAAAAGTTAAATGCTTTGTTAAAATATGAATTCCACAGTATTCCCTTCATTCATGTGTGAGTCATCCAAAAAGCTGTCTTCCATAAGGAACTTTATAAAGATCAGTAATTATAAATATGCATCAGGTTTCAGTTTAAAGAACCATTAAAAACACCCCTGTTCAACCATATATAAAATGTGCCAAATTTTACCATGATGACTTCATGTTGTCAAGTACCTTACAACCAAATTGTTTACGTCCTGCTGTATGGGATTTAACTAGTCTAGCAACTATAATGAATGCAGTGGTAAATTTTGATGAATACATTTACACACTTTAAATTCACATATTATTTCATTTTATGGCATTTCCCTCATAAATTAGGCCACGTCTCCTTCATGTAGGTTTAACAGTATTGCAACCTTTGACTTGACGAAGTAACCTTACATGCATAAACAACACAAGAAACATTGTACGTAGATTTAAACACTCCAGTTAACTGTATCATGACGGTCATATTAATACAATTGAACTTCCATATCTCAAACACTGATATCTCGAATACAATGGATATGTCAAAGTGATTTGGAAGTCCCAACCACTTATTCTTTAAGTATTTTACCCCTGCTATCTCGAATTTTCGGATATCTTGAAGTTTTATCTCGGTCCCATCAAGTTTGAGATAACAAGGTTTGACTGTATTTTGAAATTAAACCTTGATCTTGACCTAAAAATTTTATTTGTCTTCTTCCAACAATTGCCCACCTACCTGTACATTATAAGTATGGATTCTAAAAAATAAGAATTATACCAAGTTATCACATCACAAAAATGTGTACAGTAAAACTCGGTTATAACGAAGTCACTGAGACCTGTGAAATTACTTCACTATATCTGTAATTTGTTATATCTGTATAAGAAATTCGTTAAATTTATATAGCTGGGGATCCAAGAAAAATTCGCTATATCCGTGAATTCGCTATATCCCTGTTCGTACTAAACGAGTTTTACTGTAATGATGTGTACTTTGAATGTTGACTTGACCTAAAATCTACCATCCTCAACAATGAAGCCTGTAGGTCAGAACATACTTGAGTTAATAGCATTGATACAAAAACAGACGGATCTGGTGTTTACTTTCATGCACCAGTACCTTGATGCAGGGCCCCTTTAACTCATTTACCTTTGATATTGTCTGTTGTTGATTATCTTCTTCTTCATTTGTAGGGTCAGGATTTCCACATGTCTGCTTCCTATCTACAATCCAAACAATTAATCTGTATAAAGAAAACGGAGTGCTCAACAAATAAAGCAAAAGATCTAGTACCTTAAATAGGAAATATGCTTTTCTAGCTAAAATAAACTATTGCATGAGTACTAAAGTAATAAAATTCCTACATATTCTAGCTATATTTCAGCATTATACAAGTTTTATACAGAGTTGTTCTTTTCCAGATTTAAACTGTTTAAAAGTTGGCCACAACCACCCAACTGAATTCTCATAAAGGACATTTAATTGTTTTTATTTTTTGTATAAAAAGGCTAAGGACACTAAATTCATGGTTTCAAGCCATATTTAGGTCAGCTTTCTCTAAGAGTATGAATAAAACATAACAAATAGACTTCACTTAATGATAAGTTATAAATCATCATCTGGCTGTTTGGAGCTCTCTACAGTCCATGCAGACACTGATGTTATAAAGACAAAGTGTATGACTTCAATGAGTCTCTAACATATAAAATAATTACAAAAAGGACTTTGAAATTTCCATCGGGAATATGGGAGTCATCAGGTGATAGTGACTGTGATAAAGTAACCAAGCGATTGATTAATTAAGGACGATGGACCTAATTCGAAATTTTGAGCCACTGTGCAGAAACTGTGCATATGCCTTGAATCAAACTGACTTAATTATGTATTGCAAAAAGATTAAAAAAAAATATATACATTTTTTATTTTTTTAAAGATATTCAAATGTTTCCTCTCAATTAAAAAATATTGTAAATATTTTGATTTATATTCATTTGTTAATTTTATAAATAAATGATTTATTTGGCCAAGGTATTTTCATTGATTATTTCCCCCACCTACACCTGCGTTTGACATGCCCCTCTGAAAAATCTATGCTGATGACCCTTTTATTTTTTGGCATAATCTGCTGGTAAATTGTCTAGTTAACATTGTCTTTAATATGAATAAAAATTCTATTGCAGAATTTTTTTCAATGATCACTCTTATACCCTACACTGGCAATTTCCCATTACTTCCTATAGTAATTATCAATTTCCATTCGAAGCCAACTTTGAAACGCCCCCATTAAAAATCTTCATCGATGACCAAATGATTTTTTTTATTGATTTTAATTCACCAAAAGTCACTTTACCTCATATCAAAATTTGAATAAAAAATCTATTGCAGAAATGAATTAGGTCTGTTGTCATTAATAAACAGTAAAGCTTGGAAAATGTACTGATCTTTTTTTTTATTATTATTAAATTTTAACTTCTATATATATTAATTTATACCAATACACTCCTCCTCTATTTCTGCTCCTCGGTTTCCGGAATGAGATGGTGGTGTCTGTGACATCTTGTCCTCTGACATCATGATCTAATTATAGCTCCTAAAAAAACCTGTCACTGAATAAACAAATCATATGCATCATGTTACATTGCGATTGCCTTGCTTTATATTCAAAATATGATAAGAGATATGTAGGAACATAAAATTATTTTTTATA